TCTGGCCTGCTCATGCTGTTCTTCCTGGACCATTGACAAAGACGTTCCGTTTCCCTCACAACGAAGGGAAAAGCAAAATCCAGGGAGCGAACATCTTCTTGTCCGGACTCCACTGTGTTCGATGCTGCTCATGCTTGTCATTAAGAACTTTGTGAGGCAAACTGTGAGTTACATTGTCAACCTGGCACTGTCCCTGTTATTAATCTTAAGAACTTTTGAAATACCAGCAACATCAAGTTTAGAAAAATTTAAAAGGACAAGGTGGCGAGGAGGGAGATGACAGACCTGGACTTTATGTGGGGTTATTTGTTTTTTTTTTAAGTTAAATTCATATATGGCTCTTTGTATGGGGACTTTTAATTATATTATTGTATGGGATTTTTTTAAATAATACTGTATAATATTGTATATGTTGTATTTGCTTTACACACTTGTTTAAGTGTTATTATTTAGGGTTTTGCTTGTTGTTTTCTCCTCTTTTTCTTCTTTTTTGACAAGGTGTGGAAGGCCTGTTCTCCCAGTGAGGGGCCTTTTAACATCCCAGTGATCACGGGCAGAGGGAGATATGGCATTGGCGCAGTCCCTACTCGTGTCAGAAGAACAACGAACAGATGTTTGAAGGCTGTCTGTTGTTCGGAGACTGTGACCAGCCCTTAGTATCGAGGTAGCCAGCCCAGCCAGCCCTCCACTCTAACTCTGGTACTGTTGAACGCCAGGTCTGTAGCCAACAAGCCCCAGGTGATTCACGATCTTATCCTGGAGGAATATGCAGACCTGGCATGCATAACCGAGACATGGATCAGCGGGGAGGGGGGTCCTCCCCTGGCTCTTGTCTGTCCATCCGGTTATGCTGTCCAATACCAGGGTAGATTGGAGGGGCGTGGGGGGGAGTAGCCATTGTTTATATATCCAACTTGGAGGTTACTAGACGCTCCTCGGTGGTAAAGCCGGGTCTAGAGGCACTCCACGTGTCGATTGGGGCCAGAGAAGGTATTGGGATTTTGCTGGGTTACTGCGCTCCCCACGATCCAGCCACTTCCCTTCCGGAGTTGACCGACTTTATCTCTGCGGCACTATTGGGATCCCCAAGGCTTTTGGTCTTGGGTGATTTCAATGTGCATGCGGGAACAGAGGCATCTGGGTCAGGTCTTGAGTTCTTGGAAACCATGGCTTCCTTGAACATGTCCCAACATGTCAACGGCCCCACCCACGTGAGTGGTCACACACTGGACCTGGTCTTTTCCTCCAGCTGGAGCGAATGTGATTTGGTGGTGACAGACCTCGTGTCAGTCCCCTTATCATGGTCAGATCACCACCTAATAAAATATAACCTCACAGTGGCTCTCCCCCTCACAGGGAGCAGGGACCTATTGTTATGGTCTGCCCTCGAAGGCTACTGGATCCTGTTGGATTCCAGGATGCCATGAGAGGTGTTACAGCTGACCTGGCTAGCGCTCCTGTCGAGGCTGTGGTTGATAGCTGGTCCACTGCTGCCACCAGGGCCATAAACACGATCGCGCATAAACACCCTCTCCGTTGTAGAGCTCGGCCAGCGCCCTGGTTTAACTAGAACCTCCAAGCGCTGAAGTGTATGAGGAGAAGGCTAGAGCGTAGATGGAGGAAGAACCCGACGGATTATAACTGGATAACTGTTAAGGTCGCAACTAACCTTTACCTGAATAAGGTAAAGGCTGCATGTCGATCTTTCTTCGCTAACCGGATAAGCGAAGCGTCAAAACAGCAGGCGGAATTATTCCGTATAGTTCGTGACCTATCCGGAACTGGTTCGGGTGATAGGCCTCCCCCTAGTTTCTCACCTGACCAGTTTGCAGCCTTTTAAAAATCTAAAGTGGAGGCCATCCGCCAGGAGCTCTCTCCTTATTTGAATAGTGAGTCGAGCAGAGATGTCCAGTGCTCCGTCTTGCCCGGTAACTTTCGACACCTTTCAGCCTGTCATGCTGATTCTGTAGCCAAGGTGCTTGACCGCTGTCGAGCCACCACCTCCTCCCTTGACCCTTGCCCGGCCTGGCTAATCAAAGCAGCCAGGCCAAAAACAACAGAATGGGCCACAGCAATAATAAATGAGTCTTTCCTTGAGATCAGGTTTCCATCTGCCCTCAAGCAGACACTCATTAGGCCCATTAGAAAGAAACTTAATATGGCGGCGGACGAGATTGGCAATTATAGGCCCGTCGCCAATGTTCCTTTCATGAGCAAAGTGGTCCAGAGGGTGATCACTGATCAGCTTCAGGCCCACTTGGATGAGACAGATGCCCTGGATCCATTCCAGTCAGGCTTCAGGCCGCGCCACGGTACAGAAACAGCATTGGTCACCCTGTACGATGACCTGTTGAGAGAGGCTGACAGGGGCAAAGTGTCTCTGTTGGTCCTCCTTGACATCTCAGCGGCCTTTGATACCGTTGACCACGGTATCCTCCTGGGGAGGCTCTCTGAGTTGGGAATTGGTGGCTTGGCATTAGCCTGGCTCCATTCCTTCCTGGAGGACCGACCCCAGAGAGTACAGCTTGGGGAGAGTGTCTCGGCCCCGTGGAATCTC